TTTTTAGCTCTCCCTGAAGTGGTGAACCAAACCTCTCCATGTCCAACTCCTCAGAGGCATGCAGGCCTGATCATCCGGAAGGGATGGCACTTTCAGGGCTAGAAGCCTTCTCCTTTTAATCCCTAAACTCTCCAAAGTTAGTGGATTTCTCCTTTCCAGAAGATGGGCCCCTGCCCCGGCCATCCTCAGGAAAGTCTCGACAGCTCTTCCACTGTGCCGGCCAGCAGCCACCCCTGTGATCTGCAACTGCTTGTACCCTAGAACCAATACGTTCTCCTGAGTGCTGCTGACCCTCCACTCACTGGCTGACGTGGATGGGCTGACAAAATGTAGACCAAATTGATATTAGCTTCAGCAGATCATGATTAGGAAGAAAAATTTTTGCAAAAGTATCATATAATTTTGCATGCACAAGAATTTTGGATTTTCCTTTCTTTTGAATTATCTGTGTCTTGATTCACCTCCGTCACTGGAGCTACTACAAATTGAAGGAGGCGGCGTAGTAGTTGAGAGCATGATCTCTGGGGATAAGGTGTCTGGGTTCAAATCCTCCATCTGGCACTTAGTACCTGGGTAACCTGTAGCAAATAATGTAACCTCTCCGGGCCTCAGTTTTCTCACCTATAAAATGAGATAACCATAGGATTATGGCAAGGATTAAACGAGATAATACCTGTAATGCACTTAGACCTGTGGCTGGTTGAAGTAAGCTCTAAATAAGTATTAGCTTCTGTCATGATTAATTGGAGGTGATCTGTTAAATAGTATTCACAGGTTCAATTTTGGGGGTAGGACTGAGCAGAAGGAAAGGCAAAGCACAGGTGTGTGGAAGGAGGAGGGAAGAGGCTGAAGCTTCTGGAATCCTGAGCTCACCTTTTGTCTGTCTCTAAGGCCTTTTCTGCCCCTCTTGAGTCAGTACTGAGTAGTGTGACTGTCTTGAGGCTCTTGAATGAAATCTGGCTGGTACTATTTCGAGATTAGTGACAGCATGCAAGTTGTCCTGGCTGAATTTTACTAGGCTCAAGCTTATGTAGACAGTCAACAGTCAGGTTCTTAGAAACCCCTATTCCTGCCGAGGGAGACCCAGTTCCCTCTTTTCTGCCTAGGGGGCTAGGAAGAGAGGGGTGAGCTGCCGAGTGGGCCTGTTTTCCAGTTCTGATCCTGGAGAGCAGGACTGCTGTGGGAGAGGTGGTAAGCACATGCCTGTGCCCTTGAATTCTGAATCCTAAGTTTTTCCCTGCCCAGAGCAAAGTTTGCTACTATAATCTTCTTAGAGGCAATATGAACTTTAAAACAGCTTGGTGATAAGAAGGGATCCACGAGAAATTCTGCACACTTGGGACTGTGTATTCTCAGGAATTCTGAGGCAAAACTTATTTCATTGCCATTACTTGTTTTTTCTCTTCTCTATTCCTTCCTACCTATCATCAGTATCTACCCTCCGACGGGTCTAGCAGAGGAAAGGTGAAGCAAAGGAGCACAGAGGAGATGA